CGATGAAAACTGTGGTAGAAGCGGAAATTAAGTAAGTAAGAGTCATGCATTAGCAGTTATGCGGAAAAGATATAGATTAACTTGGGTCAACTAGTACCCACAATCCATGTATATTTTATAACAGAAGTGATAACTGTAATACCTTGTTTCTGCTTGGAAGTATGCCTTAAATATCAGGAAAATAATCTCCTGAGTATGACGGATACGGTCTTAAGGTTAAGGGGCTAGGGAAGTCAGCCAATGTGACTAGAAATTAATTATCAAGTTGTGTGGAATGGCTTCCAGAGCCAAGTCGAATCGGCAATTCCGGCACAGATGGGAGGTTGAACCATTGAAGAATGTGAATACGCCTCATTTAACCTTCTCAAAATTTCGAGGATATGACGAGGAGATGAGGATAGAATTCTATTAAGACAGAACGAGATACCATGACCGTCCAGCAGAAAATTGGTCATGACTACATCAGCAGAGGGTATAATATGGGTACGTTCTTACGATCATGACTCGGTCATGAAAGCGAGATCACATCAATCCTATACAACAAAAAAGGAGCTGTATAGAAGTTGTTTGACCTTGTTTTTGTAACTTGGTCATATTGGTAGGAAGACTTAGAGGACACATCTAGTCGGAAGTCCATTGTATGCCTAATAATTTCCAAAGTCGGACCGTGGACATGGTACATTCCCAGACGTTTCGCCGGCATCGTCAGTCAGTCTTGCCACTCTCAGCAGCCAAGCCACAACCTGTCGAAGGGACAAGTGAAGCCGATTCTTTAACCAAATGTGTGTTATCTCTCCTGCCATGGGCTATTCAGATTTCCTATATCCTCGTATCACGCCTTCACTGTTACCATTTTTTACTGTGCCTATTTCGATGTAGTGTGGTGTGCTCCTTTGAGCGGCATTCATGAAAACCCTTGACATTCCACACTGGGGCTCTCACCCTCTTCACTTTTGTGCTGGAAATATTGATCAGAGTCTGCCATATAGTTACGCAGTCCTCCTTCTCTACGTATTATCACAGTCTCCCTCTTGCCTGTAGGATCCGTCTACTATCTCACTGGTTCAAGTATTTCACTCGACCGTTGCCACCCCATCTGTACTACTCGAGGCGTTATTACCCCTTCCCTGTTTCTGGGTTATTAATCCGAGGTTTTCCCTAGTCTCTTGTGTGCCAACTCACAAATGTTGTGGTTCAACATTGAACCTAATCAAAGCAAGCAGTACCACAACATTTGTGGGTTGGCACACAAGCGACTAGCACATGGCAAGTCATAGACTTGTTATTACGGATAAAGACAGGATAGACGTGGCGGCGATTGGAGCTAGTTGGTTGACAGTAGGTTTGTTGTTACTATAGACGTGGTCCATGTAGCAAAGGCTTGACGATGAGACTTACTTTAGCCTTAAATTAGTCACCCAGACGCAGGGAAGGGCTAATGACGCCTCGAGTAGCACAGATGGGGTGACATGGGTCGAGTGGAACATTTGAACCATGGAGATAGCAGACGGTTCCTACGGGGCAAGAGAGAGACTCTGCTATGGTGAGAACGCCAGCATCGAGTGTGGAGAGTTCTCATAAGACCCGCTCAAGAGGCCACACCATCTTGGTCTTCATATCTTCGAAAAAGGGGATCTGGTTATTATAAATACGATTAAAATGTTGTTTTACATTAGAGCAGTTGTTGAGATCCTCTCTTTAGATTCCGCCTCAACTCTGTGTATTTTAATAGTTCGCTCTGTTTTTGCGTCACCTTTAAATTGCCTTTTTCGATATGTTAGAAAAAATATTTGGGTTCTAGCTAGCAGTCTATAAACATACAGGACCTTCTCCGGTGTGGCGAGGAATCAGCACCTTGTCACGGTACATAACTGCCATGAAGTGCGATGCATTTCGTTATTGTGGTGCCCGTCGCATGCTCACGATTTAATTAAGACGCTCTATTCTCCTCTGTTGCAGTACCCCGGGTCTTTCTACAGACAGACAGAGTTCTCTCCTTGCCTGGCTGGTGGAACAGGATCTGATTCCTGACTCCGCCGTCTCTGCACTACCTCTCCTGGCTCGAAGCCTCTTCCTCTCCAAGACTCCTAGTCTTCCATCCTCCGCCTCCAAATCAAACGCCGCTGCTTCCATCAGCATTCCAACACTGGCTAATACCGTTGGCCGCTGGCGCCTATCTTGGGAACTGGCTCATCTCACTCTCACTCCGTTTGTGACTCGCCGGCTGATTAACATACTCTGCCCCCACCATCCGTCCGAATGGCCCGGCCACACTGACAGGGGTAGGGAGGAGGAGAGTGTGAATGTGGGTGAAACGCGCCCTAGTTTCACTGCTGCCGGTCCAATAGACGCAGGATGTGCCCAACAGGAGATTTGTTGTCTCAGTTCTGCCGCTTGCAAAAGTGACCTCTTCAGCCTGGCTGGCTTGCTCGAGGCTGGGCTGGCCGGCTTGCCGTCCGCTCTACTCCGCAAGTCGGCAGCTGGACCTGTGGAGGAGACTAAAGTGAAGGCAGAAGAAGCAAAAGCAGGAGACGATGGGGAAGCCGAGAGCGAAATCGTCAGACGTCTATTCCCATATGCTAGATGGCCTTGGCTGACAACATATCTGAACGCTTGTCTGGTTGCCGCGTCGATTTCCACCGACATTCAGAGGATCACTGAGGTAAGGTATACTGGCCCTTGTATCCTCTCTTTTTGTATTTTCCGCCTATACCTACCCGTTCTCGGACTGCCTGACATTATGCTGACGCTCTGGCTTGTTTGTACAACTGTTAGGCTAACTTTTATTTCGAGTTCAAGTGTGTGTGATGATAAGATTTGAAGATCGACTGGAATTTATATGAGATGTGTTCACTCTATTTCGCTTCAAGTGATTAAGAACTGGTAGCTTGATTTTCCCACAATCATCTGAGTCTACCACATGCTTCTATTGAGTTTCTCATAGCCTTGCTTGCCAAAAGATATTCTCATCCTTGACGGATGACCATTTCGACCTCGCCTATGTCTCAGTAGCACACCCAGTGGAGCTCAAACCTTGACACTGCAGCGTGTAGTATCAACACGTTAAGCACTACGCACCATTACCACTAGTACCCTTTAGCCACTAGACGGATGTGAATTTCAAGGAAGGCCAGGCATTTTCCTATATCACATTATGTGCTGGGATTGTTGATGAAACA